GGGCGACACAATCAAGCGCCTATCTTTGCGCCTTATCACTCTTCACCGGGGACATTCGAGTTCATGCCGCCCCGTGCCCAACCAACAGCAGCTGCATCACAACAGACACCAAACGGGATTTTGAGTCTCCAGGTGCAGTTTTCACACATAATCAAGTTACAGACATCCTCACCGTTCAACGGACATGACTTCTTTACCTGGAGCTTTGAGTTCGAGCTGCTGATGGAGGCTACGCATCTCTTGGGATAATTCAACGGGTCCCTGCCATTTCCAAGCAATGGCACTGCAAAGGAGCAAGAAATATTTACTTATCAGTCGCTGCTGGCGTACACAGTTCTTCTGCGGAACCTGTCACCACAAGAACAAAAGAGCATCAGAACGTATCGGAGCTATGGAAACTCCACGGAACTCGCATGGCATCATCTCAAGTGTCTCTATCAAGCAAACGACAGCGTGACACAAAGCAGACTCATGCAACAGCTGACAACAATACAGATGAAGACCGGGGAAAAGGCGATGCAGTATATGAGTCGCTGCCAAACCCTCCGCGACCGCCTGCTTCGGTGCGGAGGAACAATCACTGAAGAAAGCTTCGTAACGCTTGTCCTCGCCGGGCTCGGGCCAGAATGGAGAACCACACGCTCGCTTCTTCGCGCCCACAGAAGGATCTCGGAGATGCACCTCTGCGCCGAGCTTCATGCTGAACAACAGGAGATGGACCTGTTCGAAGAAAGACAACCAAGAAAGCAGCAGCAGTTAGTGTTCTACACTCAACGAAGGAACGACAACAACTACAATCGACGCGGCAAGCAAGATCAACGCGACAACAGAGGACTCACCATCGTGCCGCCGTTCTGCCACAACTGTCAAACATCCGGACATTCCAAAGTCAACTGCACACGTCCTCGTGTTTATCGCCCAGTAGACCCACAAGTCGCTTCCACTCAAGAAAGCCCTCCAAGGCGTTCTTCCACATCTGCACAAGGAACACCGAACATCATCAACTGCATGGTACACATCGACAACTGCGCACCCGGATCACCACTCACTTACGCGCCAGACGAAGAAGAACTCCCGCCGCCGTGCTCACAAGGACTTCAGGTCAACCCGACATACGCTGCGGTCGCCAACGCCGAACCCACCGGGCGAAACACCTGGTTCTTGGACAGCTGCTGCGGTCAACACATGTGTTCTTCCGGGCGTTTCGTGCAACGAGAACGACGTCTCAACCGAGACGTCATCATCACCGTCGTCAGCAACGAGAACCTGAAGACAAACAGACAAGGAGTGGTTCAGTTACAATCCATGGAGACAAACGTTATACTGCAACTCAACAAGGTCCTCATCGTCGACAACTTGGGATATAACTTATTAAGCGTAAGCCAGTTAATGGCAAAAGGGATTCACCTGGAGTGCGACTCGGACTCCAACGAATTTCGGCTATACCACGGGAAGGGTGGTCTCTTCATCGGTCGCGCTCTACTGAAGTCCGGTGTCTTCGTGTTGGACTTCGTCCCCGACCGCGGTACCGCCGACAGTGATGGCATCGTGTCATTCGCCGCGTGGACGCACCCACCGGATCTTGACCCCGACTTCAACCAAGATGGATACTGGTACTCCAACACCATACCTGCAGCAGAAAGAACACGGGCGTTAGCAGTCATGCGACAAGAAAGACAAGTACCGGCAAGCATCTCTTCATCGACATCACCTGAAATCACAGCAGCAAGACCCAGCCGAGTATCCTCACCAGCAATCCGAGGACCGCCAACCGAAGCAGATCAACTCATGCCCACCACACGCGAAGTCTGCCGAAGTCCAGCCACCGTCGTCGCGTTCTTCTTCAACACCGACATGTATCACCGATCGCCCGGCCATCGAGCTCCCGACGACATCTGGCATCAACGCCTCGGGCATCCTACAAATAACACGGTACTACAAACCATCCAAGCTGAAGTATTAGAACGAAACGCTCTCCTTACAACAAGCGGCCAGGAACTTCGACGACCTCGCGCACGATGCTTTACATGCCCCGAAGCAGATCTTCAACACCAACCTTTTCCGTCACATCACAATCCAAGCGCACCTGCATACGCACCGATGGAAAAGGTTTACAGCGACATCTTAAACATGCCTCGAGACGACACTAAAGTCGACTTCAACTATGTCATAACGCTCATCGATGCAGCAACAAGATATGTTTGGCACTACAACCTCAAGACAAGAGACCAAGCCTTCGAAGCCTTCAAGACGTGGCTTCCCATCGCTGAATGAGAATCAGGAACGAAACTCAAAAGCTTCCAGTCAGACAGTGCACTGGAATACCAGTCACAACGCTTCAGGACCTACTTGGCGGAAAGAGGAATCAGACGCCTGGTGTCTCTGCCCTACGCTCACCAGCAGCAGGGGGTCGCAGAACGCATGAACCGGACCTTGCAGACGACGATGCGAAAGCTGCTCCTGGGGATGAGACTGCCCAACACACTGTGGCCAGACGCGATAACACATGCAGTCCACCTGCACAATCTGTTGTCCTCGTCATCGCTTCCCAACAACGCATCACCGCACCTGCTGTGGACACGAAAAAGGGGCAGCACAAAATTACTTCGAGTTTTCGGCTGCATGGTACAGTACAGACCCCACACAGCCCGAGCAGGACGTTTCACTCAACGAGCTCGGTGGGGACTACACCTCGGCATCGCCAAACATTTTCACGCATGGAAAATCCTCGACATACAAGACAAAAATACGGTGGCATCACGTGATGTTATCTTCTACGAGCGACTGACGCTGAAGCATTACCTGGACAACATTGCCAACACACACGACCCCACCGACGGCCTCGCGGGCCTTCGTTCCTTCGCCGACCGTGCTGCCGAGGCTGACGCAGCAGAAGAAGACGTACCTGGAGCCTCGGAAGCTGTCGGACCACTCCCTTTCTGTTCCGTACCTGTTCCACTCGACGAAGACAATCCTCTCGATAGCAACAACCTCGACACACTCTACCACTTCGCTGACCAAGGTTACGCTACACCTCACCCGGTCGACACGAATATCTTAGAACGCATCGGCCCCAACTTCTTACCTGATCCAGAAGACGGTGACGAAGCAGCCTATTCCGGGACTGAAAATTCCCCTCGACACACACCCACGGGACTGCAGATCCTCGGCTTATGGGTCTCCGTCCAGCACCCGCCGCCGCCATCCCCGCGCGAGCCAACGACTCTGTCGCATGCTCTAGGGGGGGAACATAAGGCGAAATGGAAGGAGGCAATGGAAAAGGAACTGAAAGCTCTGCAAGACCGAAATACATGGAAGCTGGTACTTGCAACGAACGTCAACGGGAAGAATGTTCTCTCGGGCAAATGGGTGTACCGCATCAAGACCAATGCAGACGGTTCCATCGAACGATTCAAGGCTCGATGGGTCGTACGAGGCTTCGATCAACGATACGGAACCGACTACACAGAAATATTCGCCCCAGTCTCCCGTCACACCTCCTTGCGCATCCTACTCGCCGTCGCGGCCACGAAGAAACTACCACCGCGCCAAATCGACGTTGCAAATGCTTTCCTGTACGCACCTGTGGACGCTGAGATCTTCGTCGAACAACCCCACGGCTTCATCGACGACCCCACAAAAGTATGCCAGCTCATAAAATCCCTTTACGGGATCAAGCAAGCCCCGCGGCTCTGGCAGCAGCATCTTCACGGTCGCCTCGTAAAGATCGGATTCCTACAACTGCCGCATGACCAAGGCATGTACCGACTGCAGAAGGGAAGAGAGTATATCCTAGTCATCGTTTACGTCGACGACCTGCTCTACATTGGTTCCACCACCGACATCGCCACCTGGTTCGAAGGGGAGCTGAAAGGGGACTTGACACTCACGGTGTCCGACACAGTGACCCAGTACCTGGGACTGAATGTCGTCGAAGACAACTCGGCGTTCTACCTACACGCTGGAAAATACGCAGGCACTGTTGCGAAGAAATTCGGGCTAACGCCGACTACGGTCACGACTCCCTACCGCTACGGGAACAACAGCAACACCTCCGCAAAACTCCCCGCGAAGCAAATCCAGGAGTATCAGCAGAAGCTCGGCTGCTTACTATTCGCAGCAGTAACCTGCCGACCCGACCTATCTTATAGCGCGAGCCAACTGGCGACGCATCTGAAGCAGCCGGAACAAGAAGATATCGAGGAACTTAATCGGGCACTACTCTACTTCGTCTCCACGCCGACGACCGGACTTACCTACAGTAAAGTAACGACATCGTCCGTACAATTGCTCGGATACGTCGACGCCGACCACGCGGGAGACAAGGAAAATCGACGATCGAGAACGGGCTACATCTACCGACTAGAACCTATCGGAACTATCTCCTGGCAGTCGAGCAAGCAAGAACTAATCGCACTATCTTCGGCTGAAGCAGAATATATCGCCCTCTGTACTGCGACCAAGGAAGGACTCTACCTATGAGAGCTGCTCGAGGAAGCGAAGATTACGACCCTGCCCGCCTTCTCACTCCTCTGCGACAACCAATCTGCGATCAAAATCGCGAACAAGGACGGCTTCGCCAACCGAACCAAGCACATCGCCCTGCGGTACTTCTTCGTCAAGGATGAAATCGCGAAGGGGAGACTTCAACTCAGTTACTGCCCTACGACAGATATGGCCGCAGACTATCTGACAAAGAAATTGGCGAAGGCAAAGTTCGATTACTGCACGCTGCTGACCGGGCAGACAAACGTCACCGGATCTGAACACGTCAGCACTCCAGAAACGAAGGGGAGTGTTGGAAATATCTCAAAGGACTTAAGCGTTTCTGAAGTGTAACACTACACTCGAGGAAGATCGTAACGGGTACGCGAGTCAACGGAGGTTACACGAGGGGATGGACAAAGAACGCGAAGGGACTCGAAGGGTCGCAACTGGAGGTTGCGTGTTATGAATGAACAAGCAGAGTAGCGCGGAAATGAATAACGAAGTGTTCACTCAATGAATGACGATACAAGGAATGGCAAGCCAAGATATAGGAACACCAGAGCTAGTCTAACCATGCGATGGGAAGGTTCGGGAAGGAGATCGAAGGGTCTCGAAGTGACGAAGCGAGGCCTGGAGAACTCCCGAAGGTCGAACCGGAAGGTCTGGAAAAGCCGAGGCGGTTCTGTCAGAAGGTCTGGAACAGTCCCGAGGCTTCAGGTGTGTTCGAGCGTACGCGATAGCAGTACCGCTCGGTAAGGAATGGAAAATTCCTTACACCACCCCCCCCCTTAGCGAAGGTGATCTATATCAGCCACGTGCTTGCGGTCCAAATAATTCGCAAGTATCGGAGGTGACTGTATCTGGTCCGAGGGCACCCACGTGTCGTCCTCACTGGTACGATTGGTCCACCGTATCAGAAAGTCAACGTGTCGTCCTTGACCGTCGATACGAATCCGATGGCTCAAGATTTTCAAAGGCTCGATGGTTGTCTCGGCTGGTGGCCGTACATCTGGAACCAATCGCTGTCGAGCGATGTCCGACCTGTCAGGAACGAAGGGTCGCAACAGACTCACGTGGAATTTGCTGTGAATTCGCCAGTCATCAGGTAGGCGCAACTGGGCGGTCACCGGCATCACCATCTTCACGATCTTGAACGGGCCACAGAAACGTGGTCGCAATTTTGTCGGTAGTGGCAGTCGTAAATTCTTGGTGTCCAAAAGGACTAGTTGCCCCGCTGTCATCGTAATATCCCGTCGATGTAAACCCGCATACCGTCGGGCAGTCGCGTTCGCCTTGCGAATAAGTTCGACAGCTTTGTCTCGGGCAGTCTGTAGTTCTTCGACGAACTGCTGCGATCGTGGTACTTGACTCTCAACGTTGATGGAGATTGGCACTATAGGGTCCATCCCGTAATTGAGATAAAACGAGGAGTGATTAGTCGTAGATGAGGGCGCGTTGTTGTAGGAAAATTCCAACATGGGCAGCACGTCCTCCCATTTTTTCCGGTCGGGGCAGTTTGTCCGAATCAGCTGCTCCATCGTTTGATTTGTCCTTTCCGTCTGGCCATCCGTTTGTGGATGATACGCGGATGAGAACTGTAGACGCGTGCCGTACCGAGCCCACGTATCCTGCCAGAATTTGGACGTGAACTTCGGATTGCGATCGCTAATGATTGCTGCTGGTATCCCGTGTAGGCGAACGACGGTCGAGATGAACAGGCGCGCTGTTTCTTCGGCTGTGATGGTTGTACGACATGGTGCGAAATGCGCCATTTTTGTCAATCGGTCGACGACAACCAACACTGCGTCGTTTCCGCTGGGTCCAGCCGGTAGTCCTGTAACGAAATCCATCGTTACGTGTTGCCATGGGCGTTGAGGTGGCTCGAGGGGCTGCAACAGTCCTGTGGGCCGCTGGTGTGACGACTTCATTCGCTGGCAGATCGGACACGCGGCCACGTAACGCTGCACGTCCGTCACCATATCTGGCCAGTAATAAAACCGCTGCAACGCCTTCAGAGTTTTATCAACCACGAAATGTCCCGATAAATTCGAATCGTGGACTTCTTGAATTAGTAATTCGCGAAGTAGACGATAACTTGGGACCCAAATTCGATCAGTCCCGCTTCGTAAGTAATAGACGCCTTTCCGTGTAGTGATTGGGAGATGGCCGTCGTTTACGAAGAAGGGGTCAGTCGAATACCCGTGGGTAAATAGTCCACTCAGTAGCGGGTTGCTCTGGGTGACTAGTACTGCTGCGAGTTGGGCAGATGGTCTGGAAAGGGCGTCGGCAATATTGTTGGCGCCCTTTTTGTACGTGATCTTGTACGTGAAATTCGACTCCAGATAGTCCAGCCAGCGTATCTGCCGCGGGTTGAGATTCGGCTGCGCCCTCAGGTACTGCAGTGATTTGTGATCAGTTCGCACCGTCACGTCTGCTCCAGTCAGGTAGCACCTCCAAATTTTGAACGCGTGTACGATCGCCAGCATCTCCTTGTCGTGTACCGGGTAGTTGCGCTCAGCAGATTGCATTTTCCGTGACTCGTACGCAATTGGTTGAAGCCCGTTGCCGAAATCCTGCATGAGCACTGCTCCGATGGCGATGTCACTTGCGTCGGTGATGACTTCGAAAGGTCTGTCCGGGTCAGCGATGCGAAGTACCGGTGGCGACATTAAAAGTTTTTTTAATGCCTCGAACGCAGCTTGCTGCTTCTCCCCCCACTCGTAAAAAGTTCCCTTCTACAGTAGGTCGGTTAGAGGTCCAGTTAACCCCGCCATGTTGGGTATAAACCTCCGCACGTAATTCACGAAACCCAGAAATGATTGCAGCTGCTGCAGATTTGTTGGCGGTTTCCACTCCTGAATAGCCCGGAGTTTTTTCGGGTCTATTCGAATCCCCTCCGTGGAGATCACATGCCCCAGGAACTCCAGTTCTTGTTTTAAAAACTCGCACTTGGAGCCCTTGGTGATGAGTCGATGCTGCTGCAACCGCTGAAAAACTGCTTCCAAATCTTTTAAATGCTGCTCCCGGGTCGTGCTGTAGATCAGGTTGTCGTCCAGGTAAATTATTACGCATTTGTCGAGTAGATCGCAGAATACCCCATTCATGGTGAGTTGAAACGTCGAGGGGGCGTTGGTTAATCCAAACGGCATCACCGTGTATTCGTAACTCCCATAGCGAGTACGAAACGCGGTCTTGTGGCAGTCGTCAGCGAACACTCGAATTTGATAGTAACCTCCACGAAGGTCGATCTTCGAAAAGTAGCGAGCTCCGCGAAGGTTGTCGATCAATTCGTCCGTTCGTGGGATTGGGTAGCGCGATTTTATCGTTACCCGATTAAGGGCGCGATAATTCGTACACATTCGAAGGCCGCCGTCCTTTTTTGGCGTGAACAGAATTGGTGCGGCGAACGGTGAAGTGCTCGGCCGAATGAACCCTTTCGCCAACAGGTAGTCCAACTAGTTCCGTAGTTCCTGTAGCTCCGGTTGAGTCAGGCACCATTGTGTGTGTACAGTAGGTTGCGCGCCGGGCTCGAGCTCGATCTTGTGGTCCTGGGGTCGTTCGGGTGGCAATCCACTTGGCAAGTCGTCCGGAAAAATCTCAGGATATTCCCGAATGATTTTCGCCAAGTCGTCCGGGACCGAGGCGCAGAGTTTGTTGATGTCGGTCGCCTCATTCTGCTCCGTCGATTCGGTTAGATGGACGGCGTATAAATCCGCTCCATTCTTGACCGCTCGATTGAGGCACACCGCGTTGACTCGTGTCGATGTTGTCTCTGCTTCTGGCCACGTGGGTAATTTTCGCCAACCTTTGTCGCACTTCACTGTGCACTCACCTGTTGTCCAATCGATCTGCGGGTTGAATCGTCGCAGCCAATCGCGTCCCAATAGCACGTCGTAACCGTCGAGCGTTGTCGCCAGCATCGGCGCGCTGAAACCAAAATCTTCGCCACACTTCATTCGGACGACAGGTACTTTGTCGCGTATCGCCAGCGGGGTGCCGTCCACCAATCGCGCGTCGATTTCGGGTAGGCACCGCTCCAGCGTTTGGTGTAGTCGTCGTGCTGTCTCTCGATTTATCAGGCTGTGACTCGCACCTCCGTCGATAAATATTTTTATTTTTCTTCCATGAAGTCGTCCTTCCGCCAGTACAGGGTGGTCCACTGGGTCATCCTCCTTTTTCAGCCGGGAGCGGTTGATAGCATGTATCGGAACCACTACTCGGTGGGGATGCTGTTTTTCGGGCGATGAGGCAGGGTCAGTAGGGGGCCCGACCACTACTGACGCTTGGCGTTTCCCGACCTGTCCTCGTCGTTCTTCTTTATCTGCTTCTTTCGGGGGCAATCGTGAGATTGGTGACCCGGCTGGTGGCAGTTGAAACATTGTCCCTTGCGAAAATCGTCCATGTGCTCCTTCGCCACTACGCCGTGAATCGTGGGCCGTGGATTCTGGCCACAAAAACGATTTCCCTCCCGGGAACCCGCTCTCGCATACGTCCGATGGGCGTCGAAGTTGTCTGCGATCCGAACGGCTTCGTGAAACGTCGCCGGCAGTCGCAGTCGGACCTCGCATTTAATGTCCTGCTTCAAACCCAAAATGAATCGAGCTTTCTTCTCGGAGTCATGCATGTCGGTGATTTGATCGCATAACGCCATGAAGACTGACGCGTAATCCTGGACAGAACTCCACTGGCACCAGTTGTCCAGCTTCGTGCGTGCGTTGTCCGAGGCGGATATGGGCTCGAAACGTTCACGCAGAGCTGTACCCCACGCCTTCCACGTGCGAATCTTGGTTGATCCAAAAATCGCGGTTGACCGAGCGGCAGCAGACCCAAAATTTCCGAAAAATCCTTGTGTGTCGCCTGCCGAAAACTCCCCCTCCTGTAGAGTATATCGCCACCAATCTAGCGCAGGTCCCCGCAATAGTGATACAGCCAGTCGAATTTTTAAATCATCAGCAGTGATCCCAGCAGCATTAAAATAAAGTTCCGCCGAGAATAGCCAGCCCGTAACAGTAGTATTCTTATCTGTGGGGTTGAACGGGGGCGGCATTGTCGGTTTGATCGTCGCTGTCGTCACGATCGGCATAAACGCCGGTGCGGCTACAGTAGCGGCTGCCTCTGACCGAGCGGCTGCTGCTGTCGCTGCTGCTGCTACTGCTGCTGCTTCGGCTGCTGCTCGTGCTGCCACGTCAGCTGCTGCGGCGGCTTCACTGTCCTTGCGCTCCTGTGACACCTGACGTGCGATTTCGTCCAAGACGGTTTCAACACGTCCGGTGCTGGCGACCTCCTCTTGGGCGGCAGATTTCTGACGCGAATCCTCTCGCGCCTAGCGTAACTCAGCAACTTCCGCACGAAGTCGCTCGTTGTCCTCCAGCACTGTAGCCATGCGCGTGTTCATGGCGTTGAACTACTCCCGAAGCTCGTTGAACTGAGCTTGGTCCATTTGGCGAATGCTCCGCCGGGGCAGGGGGAATTTCGTCGTGTGCCTGTACTCAGGTAAGCGCAAACGCTATCGTAGTTGGGCGAATTAATCAATCTAATTCGCGAGCAACCGCTTTGCAGCTTACGTGAGGGACTTACCCCCCCCCAAAAAAAATCAACTCACGAAAACGGGTGAGCGAGGAAAGTGGCTCTAATTACCAGGTGTTATGAATGAACAAGCAGAGTAGCGCGGAAATGAATAACGAAGTGTTCACTCAATGAATGACGATACAAGGAATGGCAAGCCAAGATATAGGAACACCAGAGCTAGTCTAACCATGCGATGGGAAGGTTCGGGAAGGAGATCGAAGGGTCTCGAAGTGACAAAGCGAGGCCTGGAGAACTCCCGAAGGTCGAACCGGAAGGTCTGGAAAAGCCGAGGCGGTTCTGTCAGAAGGTCTGGAACAGTCCCGAGGCTTCAGGTGTGTTCGAGCGTACGCGATAGCTGTACCGCTCGGTAAGGAATGGAAAATTCCTTACATTGCGACTGACCGTTACAACTGCGCGGATGGTAACCGAAGCGACAATCGAGTCGCTGTGCGACTCGATAAACCGCCCCTGCAACTGTATTCTACAACTGCTCTACTTTCCTATTTTCTATATATTGCTGTATGCTTGTTCCTTTAATCAATCACTTGTTCTCATATACTAGTACAAGGGTTCAACTACTCAACTTCCGCTGCACTACTCAAGTCTCATTCTTCAACTGGGACTTAGTCTCTGGAAAGATCCTAAGGGCTTTTCTCAGCCCAACAAATGTCGAGAGAAAAGAGTAGAAGGGTATAAGCCTAAGTGTTGTACCCTCTAAGATACGAACCTATACAGTCTACACAAACATAAACTATATATATATATGTTTGACACACCCCCTAGATTGCATACAGTAGGTGCGGTTTCTGATGAGAGAAGCAGCAACTCAGGGTGGCACTTCTAGTCCAACCTCTGAGGCAAGGGTCTAAAGACAAGTCAAACAGTACAGACAAGTGCAAGAGCAAGGCCAGGGCGGCACTACTAGTCCAGCCACTGGGAGAAGCCACAAGGCCAGTCAAGAATAAAAAATATATAAAGGTCAGTACATAGTCAAGGCCCTAATAGGTGAGAGGCAACAGGAACAAGGCCTAGCTGTACACAGTGCCGCTGATGATCTTTAGGCGCAAGGGCCTTCGTAAAGATATCAGCTGTATTGGCACCATATGCCAAGTGTACTACGCGCGCCTGGCGACGCTGCTGCAGCTCGCGCAGGAGGAAGTACAGCAGCTGGATGTGCTTCGCTTGGCCCTCAAGTCGAGGCTCCTGACACAGGAGGATCATGGCCCTATTGTCAGTGTACAGGACCGGTGCAAAGCTAGGCCGCTCACCTAAGTCAGTGAGTAGGAAGGTCAGCCAGCGGAGCTCCTGCGCCGCCATGGCACCGGCGTAGATCTCGGCCTCACAGCTGGACTGGGCAACAGACGAGGAGCGAGTAGCTCTCCACGAGACAGCACCTGAACCAAGGCTAAAGCAATAGCCCTGTGAGGACCTAAGGGTCTCAGTGTCGTCTGCCGAAGAAGCGTCTGTGTGCCCAGTAAGGACCACTGGCCTGCATCCTCCTAGCACTAACCCCATGCCTGATGTGCTCACGAGATAATGCAAAACCCTCTTAGCTGCAGACCAGTTCTGAGGTCTGTGTCTGCCTGTAGCCACAAAGCGACCAGGATGCTAAGAGGGTATGCGAGATCTGGACGAGTGCAAGTCATCAGGTACATGAGGCAACCCACCAGCTCTGTGTAAGGACCACTGGGCTCTGCTGACTCCTCAGGAACTGGACCAGAGAGCCTGTGATCTACTGGAAGAGGTGTGGGCTGTGTGGAGGAGATTTGAAGACCGAACCTCTGAAGGACCTGGTGCACCAAGTGTGACTGGGTGAGAGTGATGGTGCACGCTGCTCTGTCTCTGGAGATCTGCAGGCCCATGTAGTGGCGCAGCTCTCCTAGGTCAGTGCAGGTGTGTCTCCTTCAGCAGCTCAGCCTTCACAAAGGCCAGCGCGATGGTGTCTGCAGTAGCAAAGACCAGATCGTCTACATAAACAAGGATGTATTACGGAGTCTGGCCAGAACGAACAAAGAGCGAGGGGTCTGCAGAGGACATAAAGAACTGCAGCTCTGCAAGGGTAGCACGCAGCGTGTCGTGCCACTCGCACGGCGCCTGACGCAGGCCGTAGACTAGGCGCCGCAGGAGCCACTGGGTCCAAGGCAAGAAGGTACCAGTAAAGCCTTGAGGGCGGTGCAGGTAGACCTGCTCGTGTAGACTGCCCTGAAGAAACGAAGTGGAGAAATCAAGGGAGTGTAACTCGTCGTCACGCTGTGCTGCTACGTGTAGTAGTGCCCGAAGAGTAGTCATCTTCGGGGTCGAGGCGAATGTCTGAAAGAAGTCCACCCCCTCACGCTGACTAAAGCCTCTAGCCACGTAGCACGTCTTGAAGACATGCAGCTCTCCAGGAGGGCGCTTCACCTTGAAGAGCCAGCGACCATCGACTACGTTCACCCCGCGTAGGGGAACTGCGTCAACGTAGGTGCCGGTGGATCTCCAAGATGCCATCTCCTGCTCCATGGCAGCTATCCACTGAGAGGCCCAAGGTCCCGAGGTCGCCTCAGCGTAAGTGCGAGGGGTCGGGATGTCGAAAGCGTCTGGGTCATCCTCAGGGACTAACAGCATGGAACCGTGATAGGGAGCAGCTTCAGACAAGAAAGCAAGCTCGTACTGGCGGTCCTCGAGGGCGTCACTGCCGAGGGCAGGAGCACCCCCGACAGACGGAGGACAGGCAGGGTCAGAGACCAGAGCGGTGGCGTAGTCAAGACGGCGGGTAGAGGCGAAGTTAGCGCCCGCAGCAACAAGAGCGTCGAGACACAAGACTGGAACAGACAGGTCGGTAACGAGAGAGGCAAGGACCTGACGAACAAGAGGACGAGTGGCACAAAGGTAGTCAGACAGAGGGGGAGGCGCAACAACAAGGGAGGATGGAGGAGGCGACGGTAGGAGGGGAGGACGAGACACGTGGGAACGAAGCAACATAGGGTGAGAGCTCGGGACAGGGGAGACGGGGCGAGCACGGGAGGGACGGTGAGACCAGACGTGAGACGGAGGAGTCGGGTCAGGAGACAGAGGAGTGGACACAAAAGGGGAACGAAGGGGAAGACGAGCCGGAGACGAGTCCGGGAGAGGGAACACAGGTCCGTAGACAGGGAGAGGAGGAGACGGCAGGAGAGGCGCAGCCGCGGGGTGAGGGGACGGAAGGTCGAGCACGCGAAGGGCTGACACTAGCGGTGATTGCTGTTGCGGCGGCACAGCACCGACGCCGGGACGGCAAGCTGCTCCACGGTTACCTCCGGAACACTTCACTCCAGCACCCCCCGAAGGAACACCGCTAGAGCCCGAGACCCCTCGAGCACCGGTACCACCCCGAGGCCCGCCGGGACAAGCCACGACAGGAACCCCAGGACTAGTACCCACCCCAACACCAGCATCCCCAGAGTCAACGACCTGCTGCTGCGACGGCTGCGGCAACGGCTGCGGCTGCAACGACGGCTACGGCGGCGGCTGCTGCGGTGACGGCGGCTGCAACAGCGACGGCGACGGCGGAGGAGGAGACACCTGGGGAGGGGCAGGCGGCAAAGGACTGCGCCGCAGGGCCACCAAAGTCAGCAGAATCCTCGACGGGGACAACCGACGTGAGGGGGGTGACGTGAGACACACCAGACGGTGAAGGACGGGGAAGGGGAGGGGAAGGGGCAGGAGCCACCGGGGAAGGGGTGACCAGGAACAGGGGGGGAGTAACCGGGGGACCTCGGTGAGGGAAGCGGCGGTAGAAGGAGACAGACTCGTCAAAGGTGATGTCGCGGGAGTGAAAGGACCGGTGAGACGGCGGGTGGTAGAAGTGCCAGTCGGATGCGTCAAGGGGGAAACCGAGGAAGACAGAGGGAAGGGTGCGGGTAGTGAGCTTGTCCGTGCCGGAGGCACGAACGTGAGCAAGGCAGCCCTAGACGTGGAACGCAGACGCGTCACCAGGAGACCCAGACCAAAGAAGGGTCGGCGAAACCTGCGGCTGCTGGGGGTGCGGCCAAAGGTTAAGCTGGTGAGCGGCGTAGCGAACGGCGAACGGCCATAGAAAATGGGGTGCACCGGCATGGATCATGGAGGTACAAGCCACCTCCATGACCAAACCGATGCGTCGCTCAGAGACCCCATTCTGCTGCGGGGAGTCCGGCAAGGTGAACGTCTGGGTGATGCCCTCCGCACGACAGAAACGACCAAGGACACCAGAGGCAAACTCGCCACCACGGTCGGAGTGGAGACACAAGATAGGGAGACCGCGGTGGACACGTGCAGAGACAACCAACGGGATGAGAATGTCAGGCACGTCGGCCTTCCGCTCCAGGGGAAACACCATGGTGTAGCGCGTGTAGTCGTCGATAAGCACTAAGACGTAGCGCTTTCGACGCGGCCCATGGGCGGGGGCGGGGCCCCAGAGGTCCATGTGCAGAGTCTGTAGTGGTGCGGCGGTAGGGGGAAACGAGGAGGAGTGAAGAGCATGGCGGAGCCGACCCTCGACACAGGGCGTGGTGGTGCTGGGGAGGAGGGCAACTCAGGGAACGACCCGGGGAGACCTAGGTCGAGACCGTGCTGTAGCATGTGACGCAGACGCGGGAGCGCAGGGTGACCTAGACGGTGGTGCCACAGGAGTGTCGGGTGAGTGAGCGACCGACAGGAGCAGGCAGGAGCAACCTGGGTAGACGCAGCCACCTGAGGGGGCGTCCCAACCGGGGGTGTCGCAGTGTCTAGTGTGAACAGTCCGGACACCGGGTCCCGGGGGAAAGTGGTAAGGGGGACACCAGTGGCGGCCTCAGTACAGACAGCGTACCGTTCGTGACCAGGGAACGTAGTGGTGAAGCCAAGGTCCTGGAGGCAGCCGACACCAACTAGGTTCCTGGAGAACGAGGGGATGTGCAGACCAGTGAGAGAGCCCGAAGGAACCGCCGGACAGGGAAGGGTGGTGGAACTGCGGGCGACTACCGGGCCGGAGGAGGGGTCAGCAAGAGAAACTGCAGCCGGAGCAGGAAGCGGCGTCAGCGTAGTGGAGTCGCGAAAGAAACACCGGGAAGCACCAGAGTCCAAGGTGAAGGAGAGCGCAGTAGTGGCGTCTAGAGGTAGAGCAGCTACAAAAGCACCAAGGCTAAACAAAGCAGTGGATCCTACGCCTGACGTAGCAGAGGAGTCTGAGCTAGGCACACCTACATTAGGCAACAAGGGGTAGTAAGAAGCAATCACACTAGAGTCATCAGCATACATCACATGCAGAGCAGCAACAATCTCATCCATGTCCATATCAAAGATCTGAACGCTACGACGAAGCAAGCTGTGCCAGTCGGGGAGGTCGGGCGACGGGCCGAAGCGCTG